CTCTTGGGGTAAAGGAAGGAGAGGGTTAGGTAAGGAGCATGCCACTTGCCCCCACCAACCTGCAGTTGAAGTCTTAGACCTCAATCCTCAGTTACCTTCTTCATATTTGGGAGCATTAGCCATAGTACACTCAAGCTGGAGTTCCATTCTGAGGGCCTGTTATACCATAGCCTGGGTTGAGAGATGACCACTGCCTCTCATCGGGGGTGAGCAATGAGTGTTTACTAAGCCCTAGAAGACAGAGAGAGAACGACTGTATTCATCCCAATGACAGCCAATCTGCAGCGTGGCCAGTGACTTTTAAAGAGACAAAAGCAGGTTTCACAAGAGTCTTACTCTCAGGATCAGAATTGAGAAGAACAAAAAAAACAATCCAGTAGTAGTTACAAGCATCCATGAAAATGGGAGCCCATTTTACAGAAACTGAAGCCAGAGAGGTTATGTCGCTCACCTTAGGTTAACCAGCTAACCCAAACATTGCTTTGCACCATACCTTGCAGCCACTGGAGATTTACAGAGCAAGGGGTAAGATAGTATGTGATAGTAGCAAGATGTGAGAAGTCATCATCAGGAAGCAGAGATGGAAAAGCTAGAAACTGATCCACGTTAATGCTGCCTGGTAGTCCCCCCAGCACGGGGATCCCCGCACTCCGGCCCAAATCCTAAATTCCCCCTATCCCAATGGCTGGTCACCAGGAGTCTCAGCCACTGCAGGGTTCTTGCATTTGGATCTTAATGAGTTCTCTATCTCCCTTACTGCAATGTAGTCTTAATGTTAACCTCTGCCTTACTTGAGTCAGCCCAAGGCCAACACTTCAAAAAAAAAAAAAAAAAAAAAAACTTGGAAACGGGGAACTAGGTGTCAAATTATAATTAGTACCTAAAATACTGCAGTTGCCAAAAAATAATAATAAAAATRGAAAGCCAAATTCTCATAGCCCGTTAGAGAATACCTTAACAAAGAAACAAAAGGAAGCCACAAAAGTAGTTTAAACTAACAGTTTCAAAAGGCAGATGAAATTTAGTTCCTTGAGTTTTGGAATAGGACAGATTCCATATTATTCCAGCAGAGGAAAGAAAGAAATGCTTCTGTAGTTACTATGAAAATTGTCCATACCAACTGAAGGTAGGCGAGGACAAAGGGAAAGACTGTGAATCAATGTAAGCACAAATCGTGTCAAAATGCAGGCTTCGTCTATAACCAATAAGCTTTTTTTGAATGACACCTTCCTACAGCCTTATTCTGAGTTTCACATCCCTCCTTCTATCTTAGAAGTAGCTGAGTAAAGTTTTTTTAAATTTTATTTGGACACAATATCTTTATTTTTTTAATTTATTCATTTTATGTGGTGCTGAGGATTCAACCCAGTGCCTCACACATGCAAGGCAAGTGCTCTGCCACTGAGTCTCAACCCCAGCCCTGGATAAAGTTTTTCACACCACCATCTCAACTGCATGCCTGATTTCACTCTTCCCCATGCTCCCTTCCTTTGGGAAGAAGGACTCACAGTACAGGTAAGAGTGACATTTATTGCTCYAGCTACTGCAAAAGTGGAGAAAACCAGGCTCATCAATAAAGAAAGCTGCAGAAATCAGAATTAAGTCCAAAGGAATATGTCCAAATACCCTTCGAAAGGGTATTTATGAAAGGATAGCTGGTTTTGCTAAGAGAGAAGTAATAGGTTTAAATAAGGATGTCCAGGGCTGACTTTTAGCTGGTTGGCATGAACTTATCCACATCAATAGTTTATTGTGGATGGCAGTTTTTCTGATTGGTTGCTACCACTGCTCAACCAGTAGGAATATGCTTTGAATATCAACCCTGGTTATGTCATGGTTTCTGTATCTATTATGTGAAAGGATTCTTAGAAAAAGATGTACTTGTTTAGACAGAGTTGTTTATACAAGTAGACACTCAGGTATTGTTCCTAAACACTTGTTGAGTGTTATATTAATAAACTCATAATGACATTTAGAGTTTCAGTTCCTACAATGATTTTTTTTCTTTCCTTTCTTAACAGAGATGGACAAGAAAAAGACATTTCCTGGACCTCTTGTATGTTATTGAGGTTTGATTTCACTTCTCAGCTTGACTTCCCTTAGTCTCTCGTGGTCCCCCTGGACTGGGTTTCTTGGTATCTCTTCAATTTGCCCAGCTGATTGTATGCCCAGGAAAGTGCTCAAAATCCACCTTTATCTCTGATCTTGTCAACTTCTTCTGGGATATTGTCTTAGTTTGGCTGCTATAACAAAATACCATAGACTGGTATTAAATGGGCTTACATTGCAAACGTTTATTTCTCATAGTCTGGAGACTGGGAAGTTCAAGGTCAAGGTTCCCAGAGATGTGATACTTGGTGAAGGCCGTCTTCTTGGTTTGCAAATGCTGCTTACTTGCCATTTTCTTTCATTAGAGAGAGTTGCCTTTCTCCCATTTCTTGTTTAAAGGGCACTAAACCCATTTATGATGGACCCCGTGACCTAATTTGCTCCTAAAGACCCCGTTTTCAAATACCATTGCATTGCTAACTAGGGCTTCAATACAGTCATTTGGGGAGGGTACAAACATTTATTCTATAAAATGTTTTCTTTTAATTTATTTTTAGACTTATTATTAATAAGTTAATAATATGTTATTTTAGTAACTTTGTAAAAAAAAGTGAAAACCCAAATGTCACTTAGCTCTCCTGATTATTCACAGTTTTGTGTATTCTGTGTTTATCTGGCACAATCTAGGCTATTGGAGAAGTACCACATTGGACTGCATAATAGTTGCAGATTTTATAACCATTTTAAAAATTATTTTCCTATCTATTGGTTCTTTTTAATTATACATGACAACAGAATCCATTTTGATATAATTATACAAGCATGGAACATATCTTGTTCTAGTTAGAGCCCATTCTTATGGATGTATACGGTAAAGAGATTCACTGTGTTGTTTTCATATATGTACATGAGAAAGGTATGTTATGACCCATTTTTATTTGTAAGAAAGTGGGGTGTGACCATTATGTGAAACTTGAGGAAAAGCTGTGCCAGTAGTCCTTAAGAATCATTTATTATTAGCGACAGCAAGTGCAAGATTAGCATGAGTGAATACCCCTTGAGTATTATTACATTAATGGAGTGGTGGGAACATTTATGAGGTTCAATATGGTAGATTTCCCTCTCCAAGAAAGATTATGACCAGGAAAGGTGAAGGGGTCCCAGAAAGCAGGACAGAATCTAATGCTGAGCAAGACCCAAGCTCAGAAGGAGGAAATGTGGTGTTTACGGAACTGACTGGAAATGCAAACATGAGCAAAGCAGAGCAACATAACAAATAATCCTTAGCAGCTGGATGTCTTCAGTGTTTAAGCTGGTAATAAACATCGGGCTATCTTTGGAACACGATTTGTCTGTAAATATACATATATTAATAGAACCACAAGAATTAGTTAACAAAAAAATGACCTAAGAACCATCAACTTTCTCTTTTGATTGATTTGTAATCCATAAATTAATTTGTTGGGAAAATGAAATATTATTTCATTCCAACTGTGGTGGGAGTCAGTGATTGTAGGGTTCTCAGAAAGATTCTGAAAAGCCCTTGAATATTAAGGGATTGAGGCTGCAATTTTCTGACTCTGTGAAATGTGAGAGGGGTGGAAGAAATAGCTTTTTTTTTTTTTTGAGACTCTAAAAGTTTTTGAACTTTCAAAGAGAGATTGAACTCAACCCGAAATAGTTCCCACTGAAAAACAAAATAATGTAGTATTGAATTTTAGCTCCAAGTATAAGATAAATGTTGGCAAGTCTATTCCAATAAAAATAAATGATTGCATAGATAAATGGGAGAGAAGGGAAAAAAATCTTTCTTACGGAATAATTCCTGATAGCAGTATATGGATACTTTCCTCTCTAGGAGGTGAGGTTCAATCCCTCCTTCACCTGGAGTGTGGGCTGAATTGAGCGACTTCCATCAGAAGAAGAGAGTACAGAAAGAGAAAAAATAGGAACTTTGCAGTATGGAAATTTGGCAAACATGACTTTACCCAAGGGATCAAGGTCAATATCACCAGTGATTGGTCATGCTTTTACCAGGTACCTGTGAGAAGAAGCCAGGATTAAAGCACTCCATCTCTGTGTCATTCTTCTCCCCTAACCCTTAATTCTGTGAGAAAAATATTAGAACCAAATCTGGGATATCCAAAGAACTTAGCTACAGTACCATAATTCTTAATGCTGTTGCAGTCGAGGAAAAAAAAAAAAAGGAAAAAAGAAACTATCACACATCACAAAAGATACATATGGATAACATGAAGACGCAAATGCTGTAGAGGGTCCTGAACAGGAACCTGGAATAGAAAGATATTAGCTGAAACACTAGTGAATCTGCCTCAAGTCTAGGGTTTAGTTAATTCCAAGGGACTAAGGTATAGTTATGACAAATGTACCTTGATTATGTAAGATATGGACTTAGGGGGACATGGGCTGAAGGGCGTTTGGAACTTTCTGTATTCATCCTCCCCCCCTCTCTCATCAAGGATTGAACCCAGGGTTGCTTAACCATTGAGTCACATCCTCAGCCCCCACCCCTCATTTTATTTTTACTTTGAGACAGGGTCTTGCTAAGTTGCTTAGGGCCTAGCTAACTTGCTGAGGCTGATCTTGAACTTGGGATCCTCCTGCCTTAACCACCCTGCTTTCATCTATTTTGTGTCTCAAATTATCCGAAACAAACGTTTTATCAAAAGCAACAAAAACAAAAGTTTAAGAACTTCGGGTGCAAATAGAAACTTCTTGAAATGCAGCAGTACATGTCCCTCTTCAGCACTTACCTCGATTGAGAGGCGCGCGGGGCAGGTGTCGGTCCCTGTGCCAGGGCCAAACAAGTCAGAGGCGCTGCCCCAGCCGAGGCTCCTCCCCGGAGCCGCAGGGGCGCCGGACTCTGCCCTGGACGCACCCTGAGGGGGCGGAGCCGAATCTGCGGACAATGCGGCACCAGCACAGCCCTAGGGAGCAGACYCTGGCCTCAGCACCCGGCCAGAGAGCCCAGGGGAGAATCAGAGGGGACCCTGCACTGACTGAGAGCCTCCAAGGTAGGCGAGCCCTGGAGACCTGCGGGCAGCGCGCGCCAGGTGGGTGGGTGTCCGGGTGCCCTTGGAGCGGGTGTCTCCAGSGGAGCTCGGTGCACCAAGGACATTTCCTGGAAAAGGGTCTTAGTGAAGAGAAAAGCTTCACCAAGCTAAACCTCTGTTCTGAGCCTGGGCGAGAAGTTTCTTTGCCCCAGAGAAGAGAAAGAGTTACCTTTCCCCAACAAAGGAACCACTCTCTCCTKAGCCTGGCGCACACCTGATGATTTATTTAGTTTGTTGTTATCCATTTCCTCTGTCATAGGTCCCCGCGATTTCTGTCTGCTAATTTCAGGAGCGGTGGAGAAAAACTCTCTGGAAAACCGTGCCCTGTATTCCAGCGTGGCAGTCACTGCGTCCTCAGTTTGTAACCGCCAAGAGGAATGAGGATGGTGGTCTGGCCCCTCATTCATTCCTTTCTCGCAGCTGCCAGCGCAGCAAGGGGGCAGACCCCTGCTTGACAGTTTGGTACAGTTTCTGTTGAGGAGGCATCTTAGATATTTTTTAATTTCATATTGCAGAGCCCTAAGCAGCACTGCAAAGAAACAGTGTTACTTTTCCAAGAGTAGTACAGGACAATGCAAATGTCGTTTTGAGATTGGKTGGTGCCATAGTTGTGAATTTTCAGCTTTTTTTTTTTTCCAAAAGAAAGAAGAAAAAAAGCCAATGGAATATAAACCTCAGAACATGCAACCAGCCCTGAGCATAACCCAAGTTGATCACCATTATATTAAGGTCGTTTTTAATCATGATGAGTTGGGAAAAAAAAAAAAAGAGTAGGTGAGGTGTCAAACACAAAAGGGAGTTATTCTGCATTTGCAACAGAGGAAAGATAAGCTGAGGTCTGTTTTTACCTAGTGCCATTAAATATTCAGCTCTATGGAAAGACTGGTTTACCGGAAATTTGAGCTGGGCTGGATTGTCAGGGGCCCTAGCACACACAATTGGATCTGTTGTAAAGGTTATTTCCCTCCCCCTCACAATTTGAGAGTGAAGGTCCCTAACAGGGAGGAATTTGTGCCTAAGGCAGTTAAGATCCTGTTCTATTTATGGAATGAATGAAAACAGGTCCTACTTCCTGGGACCCAAGCAAACTTGATAAGTTTCTTACTCTTCCTTACTTACAAAATAAATTAATACCTTGTCCCAACTAAAAAGGGACTTTTGAAATGAATACTGAAGCTATTTCCTGAATTACTAATGGGAATGTTATTTATTAGGCTAGTTATTTACAATGTGCTCAGCAGTGAACTTGAATTCTAATTTAAAGTTTGGCCTAAACTAAAAAATGTGAGCTAGATTTGGTAAAAGATGAAAAATGAGAGGTATATTTATTTGGGATAATGACTGAAAAGGGAAAAAAATGGAGTTTTAAGGGAATTCAAGAGTCTTGTAAAATTGTAGTTTTGAACTGAGATATTTACATCAAATTTGTACGATCATTTATAGATTGAACATTTTATAATGGCAAAATTTTACTATGGATTTAATAGCATGTTTAAATGAATTTACCTTTTACTAAGCACAAAAACAGCCATCCACATGGGTTTGGAAAACAAGTGTATATGGGAATATATGTGCATATATTCAGTTTTAGAAAATATTTGTATTTGTTGCATCCATGATTTTGTGGATAAATACTAGCCTTGTTCGCACATTCATTGGGCCAGTATTTATTGAGCACCTTTTATACAGGTTACTGTATTCTGTGTTGGAGCGCAAGGGGACATAGTACTATCTTATTATACAACATTGGGGTCCTGAGGGGCACCCCAAGATCACAGATTAGGAACCACATCAATAACCATCAGTTTTGATAGTGACTAAATGTAGGTTGGTTTCCAATGCCATACTCTCTTAGACTGATTTAAATCATCAATTCTAAAAAATTATAAAGAAGCTTTCATATTATTCTGTTCAATGATCTCTCTCTCTCTCTCTCTCTCTCTCTCTCTCTCTCTCTCTCTCTCTTTCAGATTGGGAAAGAATTTAGGAATCATGTGTTCTAGTTTTAATATTATTAAATATTGAAGTATTAATCCTAAAATAGCTAAACATGGATTTCATACACATTAAATGGAAACTAAACTTGTATTGTGAATGTCAATCATCTAGGTGAAAAATATCTTAAAATGGAGAAAATCATTTTTCCTTTAAATTAAAAAAAAGTGACTACAATTGTATTTATCCCAGAGGGGGGAAAAGTCACTTTATTCCAGTTATACTTACTTTTTATTATTTTTTTAAAAACTACTTTGTTGGAAGTGTAATTTACATAACCATAAAAAATACATTCAAGGGTCCAGTTCAATGATTTTTAGTAAATTTACATGATCATATAAGTATCACCACAGTCCAATTTTGGATCATTTCATCATTCCCCCAAATCCCTGTTGTCTGTCTGTGGTCCCTCATCTCCACCCCTCACCCTGGGCAACTACTTTTCTACTTTCTCTATTTAGATTTGCCTTTTCTGGACATACCATGAAAATGAAGTCATGTAACAAATGCTCTTTAGCATCTGTCTTCTTTCATATAGAATAAAGTTTTTGAGGCTCTTTCAGGTGGTAGCATATATCTGTACTTGGTTTATTTTTGTTGCTAACCAGTATTCATTCAATTTGATGACTGTACCATACTTTGTTAATCAGTTGGTGGCTATTTCTGCAATTTTTTAAAATAGTAAGACAGATATATTGGTCTGGCTTCCATAGAAGCATAATTTGAAAATAATTGACATGAGCCTTCTTCTTATTAGATGTTTTGATTCTCCTTCATGATTTAAAATATTAACGCCAAGAGTTAAACACCTAAGTTCCTTTTAAGCAAGTGAGCTTTCCTATGTGGAACTATTTAGAGAACCAAATAAGACCTTCTTAATGTTGATTTTTGGTGTGCTTCTTTAGGGAGTCAGGAATCTTGAACAGCAGTTCCCAGTTTAAATTTTTTCTTATACACCCCTTTTATCCCGCATTGTGCTACCATGGCAGGTACATGGCGGGGGGCCGGGGGCGGTGAACAGGTCATACTTGACAACTTAGAGAGATTTCTGTATTTGAGGAGCAACCCTTCTCTAAAAATCTGGTGGTTTTTGTGAATCAAAAGAAGAAAAGACAGTGTCTTTCTGAATGCCTTTCAGTTACTACTCAAATTGAAAGTTCATATCGGGGAAAATAGAACATTAAAATAAATAGCTTGAAGTTTATTTTATTGGTAACTTAGAAACAAGAGATTTTCTTAAACATCTAAAATCTGAAGATAAGACAGCCTAGTAGGTCAAATAATATGGCTTTCCAAAGCTAAATGTGTTCCTGTGGAATTCTGTTTTCGTCTGAAATGTCCAAACAACTTCCTCTAATTCTCAGGTGAAGGCAGAAGTTTAGTGATCAATCTCAGTTGGTAGCAACACCCCCATCCTTAGGAAGGATTTTAAGAATTCTAAAACTGATACATTTTTCTTGCCTCATAGTGACAACTTTATTTGAAATATCTCCTAAGAAGTCTATTCCATTTTCAGGAATCCACCTTCACCCTTCTTACTTTCACGTGCTTCTGGCATCCAGGTAGAAACATTCACCATGCTGTGTGGGTGCTCCAGGAGGACAAAGGCTTGATGGTCCCAGCACTGTGAGCACCTCTGATGATTATGATGGGTTCCCTAGGTCGTGACGATCTGGTATCATCCGGGACAGGCAGCTGCCTCTCAGCCTTGTATCTTTCTGGATTTTAGTAGGAGGCTGCTCTCTGATAAGGTAGACATCTTCGTGGCACAGAAGGGTGAGCAGAGAGTGACCAAAAGGAGGTTCCAGGGATTGAATAGACTTTCTACTCCTGGACCCCATTGCCCACATGCAAATGGACAAAGATGGAGGATAAAAACATGTTGTGCATCTAAAAAATTGTTAGGAAAGGGATGAATAGACAAGAGAAGGAATCTCTCATTTGTGTTTAGATTTAATTCTTGTTGCAGGTGTTAGGTCTTTCTATCTTCCTTCCTTCCTTCCTTCCTTCCTTCCTTCCTTCCTTTCTTCCTTTCTTTCTTTCGATTGAACTCAGGGGCACTTGACCACTATGCCATATCCCCAACCCAATTTTGTATTTTATTCACAGACAGGGTCTCATTGAGTTGCTTAGTGCCTCAACATTGCTGAGGCTGGTTTTGAACTGGTGATCCTCAGCCTCTCAAGCCACTGGGATTACAGGTGTGTGCCACTGCATCCTACTTCTTGTATTTCTTATATATTCTATATATTTCCTTCCACTCTTTCACCTTAGTAAATAGTGCTCATCATTAATTTCCTTGCAATGTCTAAAAGACTTTTGTGTCTGTTGTTACATTAGATATCAGCTGTTACCATCTTGAGCTTCAACAGTTCAACCTACCTACCTACTGACCTACCTACCACCTCTCTACTTACCTGTCAGAGTTCACTTGGCTGCTCACTAACAGTTCTGAGTTCATTGCTGTTTCTTGTCATTTACACTTTTTTTTTGGTTAATATTTAAATGAAGGAAAGCAAATTCAGTTCATTGTGACTTCCAGTTCTCCTAAAATCAGGGAGAGCCCTTGGATTTAAAAATCTCAATTGTTTCTTACTTTTTCTGGGGTACTACGTGTTATCATGAAAATAAAGGTTTTATATGCTAAATCTCTTTTTTTTTTCCCTGTATAGTATTATTTTGTAAGTTTTAGCATATGGAACCACCATCACCATCAAGATATGAAGAGTTACTTTATTCCCCCTCCCAGATCCTCTATCTCTCTCTTCCCCCATTTCTAGTTCCACAGATCTGTTTCTACTTCCTATAGTTTTGACTTTTGTAGAATGTCATACAAATGGAAGCATAGAGCATGTTCTTTGAGCACAGCTATATTCAGTCGGCATGGTATATTGGAGATTCATCTATGTTCTTGTGAGTATAAGTTAACTTCTGGGTTAGCTTTCTATCACTTTAACAAATACCTT